GGTGAGTAGGCCAAACACCCAGAGGAATATCAATTAGTTATACCCATTAGAACTAAAAATTTATTCTGCCTCGGATAGGTAAATCATCTACCCAGATATCTACCTTGGAGTCTAAATTCAGCCACATCGTGTGGACTGAGGGCATGCGGAGACTGGCGATGCTGGTGGGAAGGGCACTGGAATTTGGTGAACCAGTGCTGCTGGTTGGAGACACTGGGTAAGTTCTGCAGCAATGAGTAATTGAGAAGTTTCAGTTCAGTTCCACTTTCATAGGCTTACTTCAGTTACTTCTCTTTCTCTCTCTTTTTCCAAAGGAGTAGGGTTTATTATTTCTTTATCTTAAGGCTAAATTCCTTGTTTATGGAAAAGAGTGATTTCTTTTATCATTGTCATTTTGAGAGCTGTGTTTGTCTATTAAAGTGAAGTTCATTCAATAGGTGTGTGGAGGAGAAGAGCACATAAACTAGTGTTTTTTGAGTATGTAAAGATTAGATTTCCATCTCCCTTGGTTGTTGAGACAACTGGGAAATGATGGGGCTTGTGCAGTGCATGTTCCTCTGGATAAGGAATGTGGGAGGGCACTCATTTTGCAGAGGAGCACCATGAGCCTGGGCTGTGGAGACCCTGCATTTGTTAGTCCTGCGTGTTGCTGCAGTGAGGCTCGCTGTGACTCCCCTCTTTTGTTGATAGTGTAATTGTATATTTGGAACACATGTTCCTTGTTAATCTAGTGTATATTTCGAATAGGTGTGGGAAAACTACAATCTGTCAGATGTTTGCAGCCTTGGCAAACCAGAAACTTTACTCGGTCAACTGCCACTTAAATATGGAGACATCAGATTTCCTGGGAGGATTACGACCAGTGAGACAGAAGCCCAATGACAAGGTTTGTTCAGTAGCAAATGTTGATATGTTTTATTTATTTAAAAAAAAACTATTGTTGGCTAATACATAAAATTGGGATTTTATTCATGGTGTGGTTGCTAGATCCGGCTTCCAGTTTGGTTATATATACATGCATGTCTTAAGATTTTCACTGGTCTGCAAGGAGCCTTCTCAAAGCATGCTGGTTTGCAGATTTTGTTCCCTGTTCTCAGACCTTTCTTGCAGAGTGACCATTTCACCCCAACAGACACCAGCTAGTATAGGTATTGTCACGTGGAGCCACCTACTCTTTAATTCCCCCACTTCTATTCAAAACTATAGGAAGAAATGGACACATCAGGACTTTTCGAGTGGCATGATGGACCTCTGGTTCTGGCTATGAAAGAGAACAGCTTTTTCCTCTTGGATGAGATCTCACTGGCTGACGACTCTGTCCTGGAAAGACTCAACAGGTAATGTGTGAGAGGCTTGCCCTGTGTTTGATGTGTTTCTTGTCTGGGTTTTTTATAGCTACTCAGTCTTCTCAGTAATGCCCCTTACAGGTGGATAGCTGATGTTTGAAAATGTTGAAGAGTTAGTTCTTTGGTGTTAACTCTCAGTCTGCTTTGTAACAGACATAGTGTTTCTTTTTTTGCTGTCAGTAACCACAATGATGGGACTTTGGGATGGCCTAGCTAGAAGAATGAGCCTGAGTTAAAATCCTTTTTCAAGGCAAATTCTCTGTTTATTAGTTTTTTGAAAGAACTAGTAACAATCCTAGATTTTATGGCTGTAAGGTATCTCAGTACCTCAGAACAGTATTAATCTTAATGTAGTAACATCTGTAATAACATCCATTTTTCTTTTATTGGGATATAATTCATATACCATAAAATTTATATATATCCAATTTGTATGTATAATTCAGTATTTTTAGTAAATACACTGAATTTAAAACCACTGCAATCCTGTTTTACATTTCCATCACTTAGTAGGTTCCTTTGTGTGTATTACCCTTAATTCCAGATTCTACCTCCTGCTCCAAAGAACCACTAATCTGCTTTTTTCTGTATACATTTCTTTTCTCAATCTTTCAGATAAATGGCTTCTTCCTTTGTTTTGTATTAATGTTTTGAGGTTCATCCATATGGTAGTGCACATCCTTACTTTGTTCCTTTTTATTCCCAGTAGCATTATATGTACCACATTTTGTTTATCGAGTCCATTTGATGGCATTTGAGTCATTTCCACTTGGAGGATTACGGTGTTGCTGTGCACATTTGCATGCAAGATACCCATTGTTAGGACAAATGCCTTAGAATGTATGTGGAAAGGAGTTCTTTTTCTCTTAATACCAGATATGTTCCATTACACAGAAATTGGGATAGTGAGTCATTTTAAAATTTGTGACAGCTCAAAAGAAGAGACACCTTTTTTCTTTTAAAGAACGTTGAAGACCGCAAAATTGAATACATCAACTTTTCCTAATTTTTCTTTTAGTGTTCTTGAAGTGGAAAAATCTCTGGTGTTAGCTGAAAAAGGCAGTCCAGAAGACAAGGACAAGGAGGTAGAGCTGTTGACTGCTGGAAAAAAATTCCGTATCTTAGCAACTATGAACCCTGGAGGTGACTTTGGGAAAAAAGAGGTAGAACTGTGCTTCCGGAAGCATAATTTTTTTCTAGTTTTTGTCCTCAGCTTATTGACAGACACAAATATAGTATGTAGTAACACATTTGAATTCTTATGAGTAATGGGTAGAAACCCCAAAAGGATATTTTAGATTTATTATTATATTGAAAAATTTGACAGATGGCCATTTCCTTATTCGACATTTCACTTTATACGCCTGAAATGACATTAGTTCAGGTCTTTTTCCTAGCGCTCTACTTAAATTATTCTGACAGATGGTATCAGTAGTTCTGTGTGAAACATATTATTCTAATTTTATATATAAGAAAAGTTAGAACCACAATTTAAAATCTAGCTCTGCTTTTAGAGTCTACTTTATTAAACACTAGTCTGGCTATATGAATGATACTATAGTGTAAAAAAAATAAAAGAGCCACAATCAAAAACCTCTTCTGGTTTCGCAGGGTGAGTCACTGTGAGATTGTTGGTAAAGTTCCTGGCATTCAAATGTAGCCAAGCACCAAAGACTGTGGCTTTAGGCTCACGAAGCTGTTCAGTGGAGGTGCAGATTACATGCTGGTAAAGTTAGTGTGGTAATAGTTCAGAGAGAGAAGAATTTTGAAGGGAATTAAAGTTCTTGGCTATTTGTTGAGTGCCTGAAATATGGGCCCGAAATTTTGGGCCTCCTTTTCCTTAGTAGTGTAAGAAGTAAAAATGCCCTTGTGCTTTAGATACGTGATTTCAAGGTTAAGTTAAACTACTTGTCAGGTTATTTTATGTTTTCCTTAAGACAAAGCTTGTTAATTCTTACCTAAGAGAAAACTACCTTTTGCTTTTGCCTGCTTAACAAGCAAAACGAGGTAAAATTCTGAACACCAGAAGCACAGGTCACCTTAGGATGGTGAAGAGAAATACTCAATTACATACCTATTCTCAAAGTCTTTAGTGAGCTACTGAGTATGGGCATTGTTCCTGTTCCTCCTTTGGTAGACCAGGTATCCAAGTACCAACAAAACAAATCATTACACATATGTAGCACTCGTAACCTTTTTGAACAGAGATTTAACTGTTTGGGAGGGAGGAAGAGGAATCTGGATAAGAAGCAAAGGCTCTATGACGAGGAGCTAAATAATTCTTTGTTATACAAAAAGTAAATATATGCCTCCTTATAATCTCACTCTATAAACTGTATAAAAGAAGTTTTCTCCTGTACTTCAGACAACTATTCTCTATGGAAAGATGGCTGTTTATGTAACTTTATGTAAAGATAAAGTGAAAAGAACTTCTGCTTAAGGGTAAGAGTTCACATTTGAGTAGGACTGGCATCTAATACTTGTACCACTTATTGTGTGAGTCTCTGAAATGCTGAGCTTCATTTATAAAAAGTTGTGATAATGCTGATGTTGGGGAGTCATGGAGATTAATGAGGTACCATGCAAAAAGAGCTAAGACAAGTAGACCTTCAGTAAACTATACTTCTAGTAGATATAATAAAAGGTCATCTAAGGCTGGGTGTGGTAGTACACACCTGTAATCCTAGCACTTGACAGGTGAAGACAGGAGGGTTTTGCAATTTGAGGGCCATTTGGGCTACATAGCAAGATTAAGCCAGCCTGAGCTGCATAGTTAGATGCAAGAAAAAAAAAAAGAAAAAGCATATAGTGTTTTCTGTTTCACAGCAAACATTCTTTCAAAGGACTAGTTTTGTAGCTTTCTTCATAGATTTTGAATTCACATTAGCATTTGTGTTCCTTATAGCTGTCTCCTGCCTTAAGAAACCGATTTACGGAAATATGGTGCCCTCAATGTACAAAGCGTGAAGATTTAATTAAAATAATAAATCGTAATCTCCGCCCAGGATTGTCTCTGGGCAGAATAGATCGTAAAGGTAAGTTTGCAGGTGGTGGTGGTGACTGCAGTGGTAATGGAGAGGAGTGGGTGCTGGGAGTAAGGGGTATATTGTAGGGTATTCCGTAAAGGATGCAGAAATGGGAACAAAGAAAATCTGGAAAACAGCATTATTTTTTAGTAAACTCCTGCATACCCATAAAGTAGATTAAACAATTCTTAAAATGTCCAGTAAGAGTCAAAACATTTACTATATGGCTCTTTTTTTTTTTAACTTACTTAAAAAGCTTACATTGGCTTCATGTATGTGTATTTATCTTAGATTATCTAGTTTAGAACCTACATTTACTTACTAGACTCAATACATAGTTTCTTTTGTCTTTTAAAGAATATAAAAGGATTTTTTTCCCCCAGTGTGGGGGTTTTAGTCTTGTTAGGCTCTACCACTCCAGCCACACTCCGCCCTCTTTTTTTTTTTTTTTTTTGCGGTACTGGGGTTTGAACTCAGGGCCTACACCTTGATCCACTCTGCCAGCCCTTTATTGTGATGGGCTTTTTAGAGATAGGGTCTCACAGAACTATTTGCCCAGGCTGGTGTTGAACTGCAATCCACTTTATCTCTGCTTCCTGAGTAGCTAGGATTATAGGTGTGAGCTACCAGCATCCAGCTGCTTTATTTTTTTAATAGTCTTGTGTTTTTACCTGGCGTGGCCTGACCTACCTATGCTTCCACATGGCTGGGACCACTGTCTTGTGCCACCAGGTTTGCTTGTTGTTAGTTGAGATGGGGTCTTGGTAACTTTGCCTCAGCTGGCCTTGAACCACAATCATTCTGATCTCCACCTCCTGAATAACTGTGATTACAGACACATGCCACCATGCCTGGCCTAGGTTATCCACTTCTTTGGGATTGTGATAAATGAATATGTTCAGCTTTTTAAAGGTGTTCTATGGCACAGTTTCAAAACTGGGTAGGCCAGCTGTGTGAAGCATCTGCACAGCACCTGTTCTCATCTGGGCTATTTCAGGAAAGACTGGCTGTTGTTGAGCAAGACATACTTTCAGAAGGTCATACACTGAACAGCCACTTTCTGAACAGCTGGAGTTCCCATGCCCTGTTAAGCTTGCTGTTTTCTCTTCAATCCCTAAAATTTAATGGTCACCAGATAGCACAGTATTGTTTAGCCTGTGGTTCTCAAACTCACCTGGAGGATTTGTTGAAATACAGTTGTTGGGCCCCACATGCAGTGTTCCTGATCATAAGTTTGGGATAGAGACCCAGAATTTGCTTTTCTAATAAGTTCTCTGGTGATGCAGATGTTACCCAAGGCATACACTCAGAACTCACTGGGTTGTGTTCTTATTATCAGTGCATTTATTGTGAAAATTCAAGTGAAAGGAGGAGTGGAAGGCAATAATTGTTAGGCAAACGTGATATGTCTTCAGGTTCTGTGTTAAGGATGGATTCTCTATGCAGTAACCTCTAAGAATCATGTAGTTTGCTTATTCTTTTGTTAAGTTACTGATTGTGGTAAGAATGGCACAGGAAGTAACTGTTGCTTTATCACCAGCGTGCTTCATGCTTAAAGTGGAATGAACAATTCATAGAGCAGCAAGCATAAGAGCCCTGAGGACTTACCTCAGAGCCCTACAGCTTGTGCCTAGGGAGCTGGTTGACTCCAGGCTTTTTAGCCACACAGTAACAGACTTCCCTGAAGCATGGAAGGTAAGGGGGTGTGGCTTAATAATTTTTAGCAGTTTTTTTAATCTGGAGGTGGATTAGGGAGTATCAGCATTGATTGATTGATTAATTAATTAATTGGGAGGCAGGGCCTTGCTATGTAGCCCATGCTATCATTCAACTCACAATCCTCCTGTATTAACCTCATGAGTGCTGGGAATTACAGGTGTGCGCTGCCACATTAGCTCCTTTTCCACTGCCAAAATTGTAAAATATAAAACAGGTCCATACCCCACTCCTCCCCAGGGTACCTGACAGGCAGGGTACAACCTGCTTCTTACCCCCTCCCCTTATCTCTGGTCTGTGCCCCTTTATTTGCTACTCTTTTGCCTTCTGGGCATGGACATTGGTGGCTTTCTCTTTCTCCACAAGACTGGCTTACGCAGCCATGACGTCCTGGTTGGCTCTCCTTCTTGATGTCTTTGGCTAGCTAACCCTGTGCCCCATGAATGGGACAGTAATAGGGAAGTAGGCTCACCTCGTGGGCTTACTAACCACCTTGAACTTCAGAGGTGATCCAGAATGAGACTCAGATATTCAAAGCCAAGATCCTGGCTAGTGAGATGGGACTGAAAAGTTTTTCTGTAGCCAAGGTGAACTACAAAAAGGATTCTAGGAATCTGCCTGTATTTTAGTGTTGAACCAGGAATCCTGCCTCCAGCAAGCCACCTATATCCTGCTCAGAGGAGGGAAACAGGAAGCCATCCTGAGCCCTCGGAATGGTCAAGACTGAGTCAGAGTCTGGAAGGCTAAGTGCTCACCAGTCTGCTCACCTCAGAGGAGCTGGCTCTGTGTGGCTGCTGGTCATGGGCTCTTTCTTGCTTCCCTTCTGTGGTCTTTTCTGCTGTGTTGTGTGCCTCCATCTGTGCCCAGAATCCCACTGGTCTAGAGCCCAGCTCTGAGAGAGATCTGGCCTAGGTTCCCAGTTTTTTCTCAGGTGTGAATTAACTTCTTGGGTCTTGATTATGAATTAGATGTTTTTATAAAAGGGAAGAACTGTAATGTGGAGTAAATAAAAGGTTCCCCCCTTAGCCCTGGGTTTTTCTGTAGTCAGTGTTCTAACCAATTCCTAGTGTAGCCTTGAACTATTGTGTTCTACTTTAAATTATAGCAGTGCTAATTCCACCTCATCTTTTATTTCTTTCTCTTTCAAAAGCATTGTTGGTACTTGTACTTTTTTAAATAAATGATTACTGTTGATTTTAGAAGTAGTATGTAAAGTGTTCTATTAAATTCCATTGATAATTGTTTTGAATCTATATGTACTACTTAAGTATTTTCTTTGCTCACAAATATTTTGTGATATAAAGTTGTGATTATTAGAGTGATCATTCAACATGAATCATGGAACAAAATTTGTTAATAATCCCTTTTAATTTACTGAATTGATTGATGCATAGATTTAAAAGACACAGACATACACAAAAAGTCAGTGAAAAGTCTGAAAAGGTCCACTGAAAAGGTGGCATTCCCTATGATAGTGAATGGGATAATGAGATTAAGTCAAAAATGTATTTAATAAACCTAACTACTGGACATCATTGTCCAGCAACAACAGAAGACCACCTGGTTACCCACATGACCGTGAGGCTAGCTGGGAGCTGCAGCTCCATACTTCTTTCCAGCATGGGAGAGTATCTTAACTACTTGTGACAAACTCAGGTAAAGATCAAAATTCAAAGTACGTTTGTACCCAGTGTGACTTCTTCATACCACTGTAAAGTTGTCAAAAAATCCTGAGTCGAATCATAAATTAGGGACCTGTGTAAGTATAATAAAATGTTTATTTTAAATGTAAATAATTATAATATTGAAAGTATAAAACATACTTTGTATGTTTTCTAGAATTTATTGTTATTTCATAATTGTGTCTGAATATGGACCAAATACATACTTTTTTCTCAGCATTTTTTAAGGCACTTTCTTTGGCTATAATTCTCTTGGTTTTTTGCTTTGCTTTTGTAAATAGGCATCGAATGCTATTCATTAATGACTTGGCAATATGTTAAAACTATGGGCTCCTTTCCTTAGGAAAATATATGCATTCACAAAACATTGTATATAAGCTAAGGATCATAGGCTCCTTCTTGTCCATCTGTGGGCCCTATGTTATGAAGCCCTGTTCTGAAATGTCTCACAAAAAGCAAATTTTTTGCTTCCTTGTGTCTTAGGAGCGGACATAGCTGAGGTGATAATGGATTTTATTGACTGGCTGACCCACCAGGAGTTTGGCCGAAAGTGTGTCGTCAGTATCAGAGATATCCTGTCTTGGGTTAACTTCATGAACACCATGGGGGAAGATGCTGCTATGAAAAGGCTAGAGTCCATTTCCACTGTGACCTCTTTTGTTCATGCTGCATGCCTGGTGTACATAGATGGAATAGGCTCAGGTATGTCCTTGTTTAGCTGCTGGGATCAAGGGGCTAAGTAGGATATAAGGGAGTAGGAGAAGGAGCTGGCCATGCTGGATATTTTTGCAGAATCACTTAGTCTAATTTTTCCAAAACACAAAATGTCTTTTCTTTTCTTTGTACTCCTTGAACAAGGTAGTAATTTTGAAAGGTAGATTAGGTACTTAATGAATGTGAAGTGGTGATTTTGAATGGAATGAATAAAAATGATCTTGTTCTCAAAGTACTGGATAATTCTTGACATGAAGGAAGGATCATTTTTAGTTAGTTTGAAGTTTTCCATAATTTCATAAAATTCAGCATTTAAATTTTGGTTTTTCAGCCATGCAGATTAGAAGTATAAAGCAAGATGATGAATAATGCCACATGAGATGTGTCTTCAGACTGGCTTGTCTTTGAGTGGCTAGAGTAGTTTACTGAATAAACTTCTACTTCATTGATGATGCATAAGCTGAAGGAAAGTGAGGTTTGGGTTAGGTTTTTCCTCAGGACTGCTCACACTGAAAGTTTATATAGTCTGTTGTTCTGTTGTGCTCTCTTTCTCCCAGTTCTGTTGAACTGTCATGAGCTTGTTATTAATGCTGTTTCCTGATGTTCTGATGCTCTCTTGTAGGGATAACTTCCTCTGGGTTTGGCACAGCCCTCTTGGCTCGAGAAGAATGTCTGAAATTCCTAATAAAGAAACTTTCCAAGATAGTCCAACTTACAGAATGTCAGAAAAAAGAATTGAAGATTTATGATAGACTCAAGGCTAAAGAATTCACTGGGATAGATAACCTTTGGGGAATTCATCCATTTTTTATACCAAGAGGTAAGAATTCTTATTTTTTAAGGAATGATTTTTAGAAGGGGAGGGAGGAGCAAGAAAAAGTAATAGAGCAGGTGAATATGATAAAATTATATACATGTATGGAAATGTCACAATGAAACCCCCACATAGTATAATTAAAATGTGCTAATAAAAAGTGTGGGGAAAAAAGAATGATTTTAAATATATTGTTATTATTTTCCTACGTTTCATAGAATTGTTTGTCATTTATTGTGACTTTTAGTTTTAATGTGTCATATTCATGGTTATTTTTTAACTAGTATCTAAATTAGACTCTGACTTGGTATAACTTTAATTGTGCACGTTTCAAAATATATGATTGGCATATGAAAGTAGGGAGAGTAGATTGTATTATAAAAATGAACTTACTTATTGGTTGGTGCTCTTGGCAAAAGCTTTTTTGTAGTAAAGCTCTAAACCCTACTAAAGTTAGTAAGCTCTTGAGTATAAAGATCTGTTTAGCTATAATATATCTTAACTATAGTACCTCATTGCTTTTTTATAAAAACAGGTTTGTGAACCCTTGAGAGCTGGTACTGTGAACTGGCATCTGCCACATAGCCTAGCACTCAGGGGGACTCAGAAAATGCCTGTTGACTGGATGAATGGGAATGAATGATTAAAAGGAATGCAGTAGTCTAGGAGACAGTTGGTTTGAGTTCTATTTCTGGCTTTCTTTCTAAGAAAATTGCTTGTACCAAATCAATCCATCAATCTCTCTCTCTCTCTCTCTCTCTCTCTCTCTCTCTCTCTCATTCTCTGTCTTTCTCTCTCTGCTCGCGCTATCTCTATCTCTCTGTCTCTCTCTCTCTGTCTCTATCTCTATCTCTGTCTCTCTATCTCTCTATCTAATCATCTATTTTATTGGTGCTGGGATCCAAATCAAGCTATTTTACATGTTGGGTAAGTGCTTTAGCACTGAGCTTACTCCCTCAGCCCTCTAGCAAATATTTAATTAGAATATATGTTGTGCCCCTTCTTCCCTTGTTGGGGAGGAGGTAGCATCTCAACATACAGTTCAAGCTACCTTTGAATTCTCAATCCTCCTGGCTCAGCCTTCCAAGTGCTAGGATTACAGGCACTTCTAAGGCACTTTCTAAATTTTTAGATTCTTACTTCAGATGGAAGTCATGTATTTCCTAGTTTCTTCCTTCCTATCTATATTAATAATTGTTGAATGTCTGAAATATGCAGAGGCGCAGTGGGAGTGCAGTGATAAACTCAAGTTTCTGACCCAAATGGTTCATTCCTCATTTTGCTATCCTGACAGCTCCCCTTTTCTTTAATGTTACTCTTTTCATCCCTGGTGGGTACTCATGACCTAACCATTAAATCCCTCCCATAAGCCACTGTCATAGTATTGAGTGCTCCTGTATGGGAGTTATATGCCAGTGACCTGCAACTAAGGTGGTCCTTGCTTCTTCTTGCAAGGGTGAGGAAATAGATGTTTTCCTTTTCTTGCTCCCTCTAAACTGGTGTGCCTAAAGCTTCTTCCCAGAGACAGTGGCATGGATGGTAAGCCCTGTAAGACTATTTTTAGTCCTTCAGTTCAGTTACCTTATTGGTTGAGAACAGATCTTGAATTGTCATGGTGGCCTAAAAACCTTGGAACCACATGACTTACACTTAGCTTTTAGAAAAATACCTATTTACGAAGGTGAATTATATTAAGGACATGTAGTATTTGAGTTTCAGATTGTAAAAGGAGATAAGTGTGTTTGCAGTTAGACCTGCATACATGGATGTGTATAGTAGGTGAAAAGTTGGTGTGTTCTTGGCACAGTTGAGCAAAAGTATGCTACTGGATATCCTTGTAAGGCAGTTTATAATCCAAAAGTGGGAAAATTGGATCTAAACATTTTCACTTAATTGGCTGATGACCTACTGGGTAGGTTCTTAAAATCTTGAGTTAACATGGCGATTGGATTTGGTTATATTCAGATTATGTGTGACTTTGCTTTTCTTTACATAAGGACCTGTCCTGCCCAGGAATAATATTGCCGACTATGCACTCAGTGCAGGCACCACAGCTCTAAATGCCCAGAGGCTCTTAAGAGCTACCAAACTGAACAAACCCATTCTCTTGGAGGGCTCCCCCGGTGTTGGCAAGACGAGTTTGGTGGGAGCATTAGCAAAGGCTTCAGGAAATACCCTTGTTCGAATCAACCTGTCAGAGCAGACGGTAAGTTAGTCATCCTGTAGCTCATAGGGATAGATGCAAGTAATAATGCTTCCATCTATTTATAGTTTCCTAGTAAAAAAATGATTATAACACTATCAGTAGCCCAAGTATTTCATATGGTAATAAGGACCACAGTAGTATAACCTTTCGAACTAATTCTGCTTCTGGAGTCATTAATAGCTGACATCTGTAATGTTACTTGCTCTCTTTTTTTTATGTGTGCATTACTAGGTATTGAGCCCATGGCTTCTGTAATCTTACTCTTTTTTTTTTTTTTTTTTTTTTTGGTGGACTGGAGTTTAAACTCAGGGCTTGTGCTTGCAAAACAGGCACTTTACCCCTTGAACCACACCTCCAGTTTATTTTGCTCTGGTTATTTTGGAGATGGGGTCTTGCAAACTCTTTCTCAGGGCTGACCTCAAATTTTGATGCTCCTGATCTCAGCCTCCCAAGTAGTTAGGACTATAGATGTTGAGCCACCAACACTTGGGATGTAATTGTCTCTTAATTACAGATTTTATTCTTATTTTTTTTCCTGGGCGAGAACTACTTTTTTTGACACTTACTGTAATATAACCTCCTGAGTTTTTTTCCTACTTGAAAAAAAATTTAGAAATGAAATGACTTTTTTGTCTTTCCATTTATTCATTCAGTCATTTTGTGGTACTGGGGATTAAATGAAATAACTTTAAAAAAACTTACAATGACAAATTGGTATCTGGGAATAGGAATTGGGCATTAATCATTTTGTTGTTGTTGTTTGCCCTAAAGCTAACAGTTAATTTCTATGTACAGGCAAGGTTTAAAACTATTAATCTGAGCATCTGCTTAAAGTGATTGCTACTTAGTACATTGTGATTAGAGGTGCTTGGGGTGTGTTTGAACTCCTGGTAAAGAGTATGGGGGTGGTTAATTCTGTCTTTGGAGTAAGAAGGAAGAGTAGTGCTCTTAAGACGCACCTCATGCATTTATCAATTTCAGATTAAGAGTCTTAGGATCTAAGTTAATTGTTTTCGTAATTGTTTAGTAATGTTGGCTTCTCCCTTTTCTTCCTCCTCTCAAAGGACATCACTGACCTGTTTGGAGCAGATCTACCAGTTGAGGGCGGCAAGGGAGGAGAGTTTGCTTGGCGTGATGGCCCCTTGCTGGTAGCTTTGAAGGCAGGCCATTGGGTTGTGCTAGATGAGGTGAGCGTCCTGTCATCAGGCCCAGGATGGGATCACAAGTGTGAGAAACAGTCATATTTTTCCCACTCCAGGGCATTTCTAAGTGGATTAGCATGCTTATTAGCATGGTTTCTTTTAAGAATCAGAAAGGTCACTTACCACAATGTACATAAAAAAGACCCTCCCTTTCTCTCTATATAACCTACAAGTGCTCCTCCTTTTTAAAGTAATACTTCAGAGAAAAACTGTATCTTGGCTAATTTATTTTCATATCTTGCAAAGTTCCTATGTTGCATTTATTTCAGAGGTGTTTTACAAATAGTGTCAACTGCTTCATGTTTTATGGGAGGTGGGGTGAGACTGGAGTTTGAACCTCAGGGCTTCGTGCTTGCAAAGCAGACACTGTACCACTTGAGCCACACCTCAAGTCCATTTTTCTCTGGTTATTTTGGAGATAGGGGATTCACAAACTATTTGCTTTGGCTGATGCCGAACCTCCTTGATCCTTTCTATCTTAGCCTCCCAAGATTACAGGCATGAGCCACCAGTGCTCAGCTGCTTCATGCTCTATATTCCACATATTCATACATGTATAGAAAATATAAAAAAAAAAAAAAAAAGAAAATATATTGACCATATTCACCCTCTTTTACCCTCTTCATTTACCCTCCCCTCCTGCTGATACCCTCCCTTTAACATGACATGTTTTAAATTCCTGTCCTTTTTTGTTCGTTTTTTAGTGTGGTCTTGCCTTGGTATTTTACCTGTAAAATATATTGTACTTTAATCAGCCTAACCCACTCTATTACTCTTCCTTACCCTTTTCCCTTTACCCCATATTGTTCAGCAGTTTTCAGTGTGTTTTGTTGTGTTTCGTTCCTACACAGATGTGATATGTTTTAATACTATTCACTCTATGATTCTCTAATTTTTTCCCTCCTCCCCTAGTCTCCTCTAACATTGCCACTATTGGGAACATGTTCTGTATATGTCTGTGTATACATTATTATGTTGTATTTGTATCTTTCTTCCACATAGAGAAAACATGTGGCTTTTATCTTTCTGAATTTGGTTTACTTCATTTAACATGATGTTCTCCCATGCCATCTATTTGCCTGCAAATGGCAAAATTTCATTCTCCTTTGTGGCTGAATAGTGCTGCATTGTAAATACCGAATGTTGATGTCTGACAGGCAGCTAGAGATAAGGAGTTGGCTGTGTTTGGGATGTACAGTGTTAATTCAAGGAAAGATTAAAAGTGTTAGTGAAGTTGAAATGGTTAGTAACAGAAGTAAGCTGGATACTGGCCCAAAGAGGTTCACTAGGTTTATAAACCTGTGGATCTGGACATCAGAGAGTGCCATCAGATTTCATCTACTGAACTACTACCTGTGTTCAGGGGAAATACTAAGGAGAGGGCTCACTCCAGATGATTTTAGAAAAAGATATTGCGTAGAATATTCATTAACCAGTAAAAAAAAAAAAAAAAAGCTTAATTTTAAAGCTGAAGGCCATTGACCATTCTCAGATTTGGTGGAAGTGCATAAAGTGACTGCAAGACATCTGTTCTTAAAAATACACTCAGGAGCAGCTCTCTATTGGGAATATGTAGAGATGTTCGCAGTGCTTAGGGAGGGAGAAACTGCAATGGAAATTTGACTAGAGTTTATTCTGATTATTGACTTACTGATTTGTATTTTCACTTGTTGTAACTTCTTATGTGACTGAAATTTAATTGTGTAGACCATTTCATATTGTTTATATCATGACTTTGAAACCCATTTAGAAATTTTGTTCGGTATTTAAGCTAGAAAAGTATATAAAGAACTATCAAATGTTTTCTGTTACCTGTAGTTAATGTTAAAATTCTAATTACTCATCATGTAAAAGTGAAATATCTGTATTGGCCAGTTTTTTTTGGTAAGTTATTTATAGAGGTTAGTTTTGGAGTGGATAACAACTACAGCTTACTGTTAGAGAAGATTTTAACCTTTTTTTAATTCATTCTGAACATTCATTTTACTTAAAATTATTGATGTATGTTTAACATCCTTACCAAATATGTGAAATAAAGAATAATAGGATGAATGCACATATATTCATCACTCAGCTTAAGATACAGTGGATTATCAGTATTGTATGAACATCCCTTTCCTCAAGATAACACTTACTTTGCTGTGTATTATTTTCTTGCTTTAAAACAAATATATGTACTTTTCTTCCCCATGTAGCTTAACCTGGCTTCTCAGTCTGTACTCGAAGGACTTAATGCTTGTTTTGACCACCGAGGAGAAATTTTCGTGCCTGAATTAGGAATGAGCTTTCAAGTACAGCATGAAAAGACGAAGATTTTTGGGTGTCAAAATCCTTTTAGACAAGGAGGCGGGAGGAAGGGCTTGCCCAGGTCTTTCCTTAACAGATTCACTCAGGTAAGATTCACTGTTGCCACAAGACCAAAGCTATATATGGCAAGGATGTTCACTATGTAGATGAATGATACTATCCAGAATTTTGATTATACGTTGGAAATTTTATCATGTTATATTTGGATTTTTTAGGTCTTTGTGGATCCCCTTACAGTAATTGACATGGAATTCATTGCTAGTACTTTGTTCCCAGCCATCGACAAAAATATTGTTAAGAAAATGGTGGCTTTCAATAACCATGTAAGTATCTTCTTGTATTAATTGTGTTTCTTTGGCTGTATTTGAGCCAGCATTTTCTCAATATAGGGCTCGACCAAATCACCACCTATCTGTCTAACGAAAATCACAGACTTCTAGTTTCTGGTGGAATACAAATTACTCATTTGAGAGTAATGGTAATTCATTTTTGTATTGTGAATATCAGTGTTGATGCCTATAGGGTATTGCTGGCATTTGGAAGTTGGAAATGGGAGAAGCATCTGAATTAATTTCTGTTTCATGTCACATACACATTTGTAGTATGTGACAGTACTTAATGCACTGCCTGATAGAACATGTTTCTCAGTAGGAAATTTTATTTCTAGATTGATCATGAAGTGACTGTTGAGAAGAAATGGGGGCAAAAAGGAGGACCCTGGGAATTTAACCTCCGAGACCTTTTCCGCTGGTGTCAGTTGATGTTGGTTGACCAGTCCCCTGGCTGTTATGATCCTGGTCAGCATGTCTTTTTGGTCTATGGTGAAAGAATGAGAGCCAGGGAAGACAAAGAAAGGGTAAGCTTCATACTTCTCGTTACATATTTTTCAGTCAAAATGTTGATTTCTTCCTAAGACAGAAAAAAATGCATATTCACCGTAATAATAACACCAAGCCTAGTCATGCTACTTGAAAAGTTAGAAGTTATGGATACAGATGAAATGAAAATTCCCTGATCATAACATAGTTTGCTTTGGAGAACACAATTTGCTTATCAGCTAAATCCCCATGGCCACAAACCTTTTTTTAAAAAAAACAGCATTACTGGTGGGAGTGTGGCTCAAATGGTAGAACGCCTGCCTAACAAACTCAAGAACTTGAGTTCAAATACCACTACTGCCATAACTTAAGAAAACAAAAAACCAGTATTGACCTCCAAAATAAAGAACTAGGTCTCCATTATGTTTTCAGGTACAAAGGTGCAAACCAGGAGGAGATACTTAGAGCCCCACAGGAGAGAAGGATTTTTTGGAGGTTTTGTTTTTAAGTAAATGTCAAATTACAAAGTGTTTTATCTAGAAATTTTCAGTTCAAGAATTGTAGTTATGTGCTTTATTTTAATTTTTAAGATTTTCTTTTTTTGAGTCTGAATTTCATTATTGCTACTCATGCTTGATCTGAAATGCTTGGGCTCAAGTGATCTTTCAACCTCAGCCTCCCTAGTAGCTGAGACTATAGCTACTGCTGTGTGCTCTTAGGTATTTTGGTTAGTGACATTTAAAGTCATCACATTAAAGTCTGGTGGATAGGAAATGAGGATCTAAGTTTCCTAGTCTCATAGGTAGCAAAGCCAGACTGCTTCACTTTGTTTGCTATTCTTTTCTACTAAACCTCACTGATGTAGCCTGTAACCCCTTGTGGAAATGTGAATATGTGGCCCATCCCAGATGAGTTTTGTGCCTCCTTCATTCTCTGTCTGAATTCTTTTTATATATTCAGAGTCCAGTCAAATGCTAGGATCGAGGTTCGAAGCCAACCCCAGGCAAATAGTTCATGAGACCTTATCTTGAAAAAACCCATCACCAAAAAGGGCTGGCAGAATGGCTCAAGCCAGAAGAGCACCCGCCTAGCATGTATGGGGCTCCTGAGTTCAAAAACTCCAGTACACAAAAAAAAAAAAAAAAAATTCCACACCTGTCCTCATGTGTTGGGTCACAGTCAAAACACTAAAAATACTGCATAAAATTACTTTCAGACTATATGTGTGAGGTACATCTGAAACAGAAGTGAATATCGTATTTATATTTATATCGTGTTTATATCTATATGATATATATCTATATATCACATATATATTTATATTGTATTTATATATATCACCAATATACTTCACGTGTGTATGCAAATATTTTAAAATGCATAGAAATGGAATGACTTCATATCCTGAGCAGTTCAAATGAAGAATACTGAACCTGTAGTATGTTAATCATGACCATTGTGTAAATTGAATCTGGTTTTATACAATCAAATGAGTTTGATTATGAATTTGTCATCTTAATACTCTGGTGGAATATCAAGGAGAGATAAACTGCCTTAGTATAGGGCTTTTGGCCAGAAACTCCTGGAACCAAGGTATGTGACAAAAACACTTTCTCCATGCTGCTTCTAATTTCACAGTCAGATGTTTGGCATTGATTATGACTTTGTCTTTATTGTTTTTATTTTCTGACTTTAGTGCAGTATATATACACAATAATATACAATATATAATTGTATGTATAATATATAATTGTAATATATAATACACAATTATAAAAGTATTGCTGCTTTTAATACAACTTGGTGTTGTTATTTTTGAGTGGCTCTAATTTTTCCTATTGCTGTTGACTAGATTTTTTTTTTTTTAATACATGTTTTTCTTTTTCCCCCCACTCCTTAGGTTTTTAAAAGAGACCAGTGAAAGAAATAGAATTAAGAGGAAGCTTTTTTTTAACAGCATTGCTGCTAGGGAAGGGATAACTCGGTGTAAATAACTGGCTAGAGGAATACCTTTGATTGTCACATCTGCTAAGTATTTGGAGGGCTAACATGATGTGTAGTTAGTGAGACTGGCTTACATTTAAAATTAGTCAACCATGTGCACAACATGTGACTCTCTCACATCTCAGTGTCCATACCTATAAAATAGAAATGATAGCTATTTTGCAGGAATATAAAGCTCAGAAGTAATCTTTTAATGTACCTGATACAGTACTGTGATAAATAAATTAGTCTTTATAATATTCCTTTTACAATTGAAAGTCTTTTTTAGATAGTATCTTGAGTGATGACAGCACTTTGTATTTTGGGGTTATTTTTGGTGGGTCCGGGACTTGAACTCAGGCCTTCACACTTAAAAGTTCTACTGCTTGAGCTACACCTCCAGTCCATTTTGCTCTGTTTATTTTGGAGATGAGATACTACAAACTGCCTAGGCTGGCCTCAAACTGCAATCCTTCTCCCAAGTAGCTAGGATTGTAAGCGTGAGCCACCAGTGCCCAGTGAATGCACATTTTTTGTCTTTAACTTGCCATCCTGTCCCTGGCCTCAGTTTAATTTAGGTATATTCTCTGTAATCTCAGTTAGTTTGGAATTATGTAACTACTCTGGTTTTGAGCTCCAGTTTACTTTTATTTCAAGGTATTAAACAGTCTATAACATTTTATATGAGAAAATTCAAAAGGATAAGAAAATTGTGGCTAGTGTTCTTAGTATTAGTGACTAAATACAGTGACTGCTTTGCTTCTTTTCTACAAGTATTCCTTGTAGGTTTGCATAAGAATTTGGTGAAGTGATTTGTATCTTGATTGCATCATCATCTTTTAGGTCATTGCTATATTCAAGGATGTGTTTGATTCAAGTTCCAATCCTTACGTGGGAACCAGACTATTTCATATCTCTCCCTACGATGTTCAGGTGAGAAGATTAGATTAACCCTTTACCATTTTACAGTTTCTCTGGTTCTTCTGCCCTTATGACCAGGGATGCTTATGATATGTCAATGGTATGTTTTTTCAGCTTGGCTATTCAGTCCTTTCTCGAGGCAGTTATGTTCCTCATCCATCCCGCCGCCCCTTGTCACTCCTGCACCAGTCATTCCAGTCTCTGGAGTCCATCATGAAATGTGTGCAGATGAGCTGGATGGTCATCCTTGTGGGGCCAGCCTCTGTGGGCAAGACTAGCTTGGTCCAGCTTCTGGCACACCTTACTGGACACACATTAAAGATCATGGCTATGAACAGTGCAATGGATACTACTGAGCTTCTAGGTGGATTTGAGCAGGTAACTGGCATGTGTTTATATTTTTGGCCAAAACATTAAAAATAAACAAAGAACCCCACCTATGTTCTGATTGAGGATCTTTTGTGTTAGTGGTGACTTTGGCCGATGGCTGATGAGTTCATGTGCTCTGAAACTTGCAGGTTGATCTTATACGACCTTGGAGACAGCTGCTAGAGAGGGTGGAGAGGACTGTGAGAACACTGCTGAGGGATAGCCTCCTTGTCTGTGCTGAAGACGCAGAAGTAGTGCTGCGGGCCTGGAGCCATTTCCTTCTGACACATAAGCCCAGGTGTCTTGGGGAAGATGGCAGTGGGGTCACTATGGATATTGTCAGTAAATTGGAAGCAGTATTGCTGCTTATGCAGCGACTCAATAATAAAATCAACTCATACTCCAAGGCAGGTATGTATGCTTGGATGTGTGTGTCTTTACATTAAGCATTGCACATATTCGTTCACTTACATGAATGTATTTGTGAATGCCACACCCATGTTTTTAATTAGTTTAATGATTAACAGTCAAAACTTTGTCATGTTTACTTTAGAAAGTATAATGAAGCTGAGTGAGGTAAAGTATTCCAGATTAGCAATACTGAAAAAGCAAACAGGAAAATTGGTCACTAAATTTTGTGGCTCATTGTGTGTGTATTCATCTATAATTATTTACCACTTGTGTGTAAAGCTTTTTTTACTTATTAGTAATTTCTCAAGAAATTGAGCTTTTTAAACTAAAAAATAGTTTGAATTGATAGGATAGTTTTAAGTGGAAAAAATTGATTATTTCTGTATGCTATGTGGTTAATATGGAGACATAATTCTGTTCTTTTGTGGTGCTAATTAATTTGTGGGTGGTGATGAGCATGCCTTTAAGGAGTATTAAATGGAAAGGCCCATGTATTGGGTTTGTCACTAGATTGTCATCCTATATTCCCAAAGTCCAGTTGAAACTGAAGAGTTGATTTCTTAAGAATGAAGAAATGAGACTCCCAGTTGTACCTCTGTAAACATTGTTTTCATGCTGTGGGTCAAATCATTAAATTTTGGGGGGTGATGGTATGATTTCATTGTTGAGTTGATCTGTTTCATAATTCAAATTCATATTTAAACTTGAAATCCTTTATTCCTTCACTTAAATTAATAAAATCATATTTGTCAGAGACACATATCACTTTACATTCTCTTAAAATACGGGTGTTGTAAAATTCACCACTGAGAAGAAAAAGTCAGTTAAAAATTAAATGTCCAGGGTACATTCTCATAGGTTATTTTCAATAGTATTTTTTTATTAAGATTTGATTTTCATATTGACTAATACACTTCTTAGGGATATTAATAGAGTTTTAAAAAAAAAAAAAGCTAGGTCTAAACCAGTTGCCTAGTACTATTTTATTTTTGGTTAGAATTTTTTCTTCATTTTAGCTATGTTTTTAATGTATGATGAGCCTTTATGACTTTAATTACAGTTCTCCTTATGCTCATACTTTAAGTCTTTGTGCACACTGAGCATATTTCTGTTGGCTGTGTTAACATCTTTATTCTATTTTCATCCTCTCTTTATGTCTGGGTCTGTTTTTTTGACTGCTTCTTCTGCTTAAGAGTCATATTTTCATTTTATCTTTATATCTAATAGTTTTAGTTACTATTTATTGCATTTTGTTATGTTTGTTTGAAGACTTCGGCTTTTCTTGTAGGTAAATTGCTTGTGGATTTTTTTGGGGGGAGGGTGTAACCAGGATTTGAACTTGGGGCCTTAGTACTTGCTAGGCAAGTGCTATACCTCTTGAGCCACAACCCCAGTCTTTTTTTTTTCTTTTTAAGTTGTTTTTCGTCTAGCTGGGGTTAGAGATGCACCACCATAACCAGCTTGTTGGTTGAGATGGTGGGTCTGACCTTTTGCCTGGGTTGACTTCAAACCATGATTCTCCTGTATCTGCCTCCGGAGCAGCTGAGATTACAGCTGTGTACCACTATGCCCATCTCTTAGTTTTGTCTTTCCAAAAGATAGGCCAGCCCCATAACTGCATAGCCCTGAGGCTTCCCAGCTGAATGCCCTGTACGTTTGCTGAGGTCTCTACTTTAACTGGTGGTAACTGAGTTATTCAGCTCAGATTTCCCCAGTAATTGCATTTTCCTTGAAAGTTTTTGCTCATCTTGTATATGCAGACATTTATTTATCCAAAGGCTCAAGGCCTTTATCCACATTTTTGGCTCTCTTTCCCTGAGTAGCTCTCTCCTCTATCTGCTCCTCATTCTAGTTGCCTCATTCTGATCTCAACTCAGTGAGACCTTTGGTATCTGTTTGGATCTCCTTCCCTGCCTTGCAATCAAATTGTTTCCGGGTAGAAGGCCAGGACAATTACAGGGCTTACCCTTGCTTTTTTCCTTCCTGCTCTCAGTTCTCATGGTTACCTTCTGTTGTTCATGCCTAAAAGCAGTTGTTTCATATATTTCACTAGTTTTCTAGTTGACAGTGGGTACTTAAGTCTTAATACGTTCATGGCTCAAAGCTGGAATCCAACATGCTACTTTGTGGTATTTTACAAAAAGCTTCATATGACAATTTCCAGCAAAGATGACCAATGGAAAAATTTCCAGTGAAGGGCTATGTAAAATATTTGGCAAAACATATAATTTGATTGTTACATAGTTTGGTCATTATGAAGAAAATTTAGTTCAATGACATTAATTATGCTTCTCCAACTTAGGCACTTTCATACAGTAGTGTATAATTTAGTAATGGGTAAGAGACCTTATCCTCTTTATGCCATATGAAAAAATATAGCATAGAAAAGTTACTTGCCTCCTTCTCATCCCAGAGTCAAATCTGAGGATGTAGCCATTAATAAGCTTTCTCTCTCCCGAACCTAATTTTGTTATCTGTGTTTAAAACAAAAGCAAAAGTAACTTTATTATTAACCCTTAAAAACTTGTGATTAAGCTGGAGGTGTGACTCAAGAGGTAGAGTGCCTGTCTATAGCAAGAGTGAATCCCTGAGTTCAAACCCCAGTACCAGCAAAAGGAGTAGCGGGGAGCTAAAAGTTTTAATAAACTCTTAGATTTGGGGTTTGGTTTTTTGGGGAGTTGGGAGGGTTGGGTTGCCTTGGGTTGAAATTAAGTACATGAATGTTGAATTTTGCCTGTGACATTACAGAGTTTGCCCAACTCGTGGAAGATTTCCAGAGTTTTGGGGTGAAGCTTATGCAGTCAGCCAGTGGCCACAGCCATGGCACATTTGAATGGGTTGACAGCATGTTAGTTCAAGCCTTGAAGTGTGGAGATTGGCTTCTGATGGACAATGTTAACTTCTGCAAGTAAGAACCTTACACCCCATCGCTAGTGAGCCTGATTGAAACTTGGAATTTAATCTGTCGTTTTTTTTAACTTGTAGTACATCATCAACCACATTCTATAGTTTTACTCTGTTTTGAACAGTGGCAGTTGGTCATTAGCTGATGGGAAGGCTAACAGAATTGCAAAATTATCTTTTGAGTTAGGCCTTTTTTATTTGACATCAAAAATCTTTTTCCTTTGGTGGTGGTGGTACTGAACTTGGGGTTGCGTTTATGGTCTTGTGCTTGTCTAAGCATGTGCTCTACCACTTGGGCCACAAACCCAGCTCTTTGTGTTTTAGTTATTTTTCAAAAAGGATTTTGTGTTTTGGCCTTTGTTGGCCTCAACCTTGATCCTCTTTTTTTTACATCTCCATTGTAGCTGGTATGACAGGTCTGAGGCACCCTGCCTAGCTTATTGATTGAGATGGGATCTCAACTTTTTGCCTAGGCTGGTGTCAAATTGCACTCCTCATGATCTCTGCCTCTTTAGTAGCTGTGATGCATGAGCCACCACACATGGCTATTAGGGTCATTTTGAAGTTCAGATTTTTTTGAATGAAGGATCTATAAGGTAAACATTTAGCAAATGTGCATTAGTGATGACAACAGTTGAATCAGATCTCACTTGTGATCCTACTGTAAGGAGAAGGGCAAGTATAAAATTACTGTACATGCACAGTTTGTGGAATAGAAGCTACTGCAGGTTAGATGGTGCTTTTTCTT